AGGCAATGATGGAATTTCAGCAAAAACTGTCTTCCCTGTACGCTGCTCAAACTGAACTCCTTTAGGCAATGATGTTGGAGTATCAGCAGAAAGTTGGTTGAGAGTATGAGGAACGGGAAGGGCATAGAATGCCAATAATCTCTACAAACATCAGAATAAAGAACAATCTGAATAACACTAATCGCTTATTCCTACAAGCAAAAAAGCTCATTATTTTTTCAATTTTGTCTTTCACCTCAACATCTGCCTGTTGAACATTCGCATTCAAGGTCTGGATGACAAGCCTAGCAGCTTCATCTGCTGTTTTGGGTGGGGGTGTTGCTTCTTTCCATGCCTTTAGTAGCTCTCTATACCATTTAGCCTGATCCTCCTTGGATGATGCAATATAATAACTTAGCCCTTCAGGAACCTAAGCCAAAGTTTGAAATGTTAATAAAGTAATTGATGATGGTTTCATTAATCCGGATTTCCTGCAAGCTAAAAGAAAAACCCAGGCTTGGATCTTAGCAGAAATGAGCAGAGAGATACACATACCTTGGAGCCGATTTCAAACTTTAAGAGATCATTGGCAAGAAACGAAGCATTCGAGGGGAGAGTGGAGTTGTAATGGGGCCTTAGTCCTAGTGATTGGGAGTCCTCTTCTGTGTCAGTGGCATTGGAGCAAAGCTTATGTAAGAACCTAATAACATTTTTCAGAAACCTTAATATCTTAAAACAAAGAACAATTAGCATAAGAGCTCCCAGAACACATCCCACAGAATTTCCCTCCACACAAAGATGACTTCCCAGAACATATCCTAGAACCCATACCAGAAAATATTTCATTATAGTCCTAACTCGTAATCCTATTCCTGTCTCGGTCTGAATTATACCCTTTAACAGGCAGTAGAGACCGAAAGGAAACAGGCTACTTAAAGGAGAAGGAAGGACTGTTTCAGGGGAAGACCTACGCTACTAATTAACAGTTGTTCACTTTATTTTTATTCCCTTTGTTTCATTTAGTTCTTTTTTGTTGTTTGGTATTATAAGAGTTTTAAAGGATACCATAATCAAACCCTCGTGAGTATTTAACTCTTCTAGTTTTTATTAAAGGTTTTATAAGCTTATTTATTATACATTTTAATTTAGACATTTTGATATTTTAAATATCAACACTTTTTATAAAATTATTTCAATATTTTTTATATAAAAATTCATTAAAATTATTTTTTTTTTATTTTTTTATTATTCTTGATATTTAAATTGTTATGTCGTTATTTTTCTCCATCATGACTGAGAAGTAAAGCAAAACAAAATATGTGTAAAAGACTGAGGAAAGGGAGAGCTTGACCGAGAAGGAAGGAACGTTGCAAGCAGGACAGGATGACTAGGCTATATATAATTTTCCAGAAAACTTCCCATCATAATGAATGCAAATAACGCTTCCCAGAAAATATCTTATTATAGTTGTTATCATAATGCTTCCTCAGTCTTCACCGTGCAGCCTACCCCTTCTTCTACAGGCAGTAAAGACTGAGAGGAAAGGGAAAACTTTAATTGAGAAGGACGGACTGTTGCAGGGGGAAGTTGAGTTAACGTCTACGCTACTTTATGCATCTTCACTTTTTCATAGTAAAGCAATTATTCTATCACAAAGAATCCAAGCAAAACAGAACAAACGCGGAATTCTTGTAGTTGTGTTCAGGGTTTTTTTTTTTTTTTTTTAACAAAAGAATCAATATAATAGACTAAGTTATATAATTAATCAAAAAATTATTATGCGATTTGAACTATATTAAATCACACAAATAGAAGCATTAGATGAGAATAAACCCTTGTCATTAGAAATCCTCCTCCTGTCTAACAGTTTATAGTTTGCAATTTAATATAATATAGATTGTAAAAATAATTCTCATACTTAAACAAGGGTAGTTTACTATTGATTACTCACGTTTTCAAGCTGTGGCCGTGGGCAGAGTAATGCCATGCAGGCACTTTCTTGAGCATTACAAATCCACCGTTGCAATAGGCATCATCCACACAACCGTAACGGTCTTCCCCATACGCCAAAATTCTCAAGGCCTATCAAATCTATACATTACTTAAAGTGGTTTTTATAATGCATAATTTACAACACACTACTTTTTTTTCTGTTTTTTTTTTTACAAAAGAGACCACTTTCCTTTCTCTTCCTCTATTTTGCCGCTATTTATGTTCCATCAGGATAATATATATTAGCTGTCTTCTCGTTTATTGTTTTGCTTCCATTCCCATGGCTTCTCAGGGTTTGGAGAAGCCCACAAGCCAACTTGCTTTGCTTGAGCTTCCTTTTCCCACTAGCATGACAAAGAAATAGAAAGACTAGGAATCAACTTAAACCAACTTCAAGAATGACAAAGGATGGTCAGATACTCACAGCAGCAAATTCCGGGCGTTTATCATAGACTTTGTGATGCCAAGCAAACCCTTTCTTTAGCATTTCTTCCTGTTAGAAGGAGAGATTACATAACTACTTACTTGGCTATTGACTACATATCCTGGAAACAATGATCAATACGATATTACCTGGACAAAAATGCCATTGCAGTAGACATCACCAATGGTGCGCCCATATTTATCTTCCCCATAGACCAGCACTCTTAAACACTTTCCCTGAACAAGGTTAACCAGCTCTTCTTTTGCCTCATCTCCATATGGCATTGACATCTCCGGCGCATCTATACCCCTATTCATTTTGCCTAACCATCAACCATTGTACCACAATAATAAAATTTAAAATCCTACCAAGGAGATGTATTACATTAGACGAAGGCGATACTTTCGAGCTAGGATCTCCTGATTTTGATGATTAATGACTCTATTAACACGAAAACTATCAATTAGAAACTGAATCGCAAGAATTTGTCAAAACGAAATTCATTTTATTCAAAATATGATAGGCAACCTGTATCCTGAATCAGTAATCTTCAGGTGAAGTGCATCTGCTGTTGTATAATCCTTCCCAGCACGTGCCTTTGATCTCTGAGCAGCTGCCAATAATACCGCACTAGGAATGCTTCCTGATTCTCGAGGATCAGCAGTGCTCACGTAAACTGTCATCCCATCCCCATCCCCAACAGCTTTTGCATGCACCTGCCATTCATCAGAGTATTTTTCAGCTTGAAATGCATTATCCAGATGCCTTCATTATACTACAATTGAATTCAGGATAGAGATATCTTTCTAACAGGTAAAGTATGGAGCTCAAATTGAACTCCTTCAGGCCATGATGTATGAATTTCAGTAGAAAGTTGGATTAAAGCATGAGGAAGAGGAAGGCCATAGAATGCCAACAATCCCTGCACATGAATACAAAACAATTTGAAACACATTAATCTCTTCTTCCCACAAGCAAAATGCTCAGTTTTTGTTTTTTTTTTTTAATTTGTTTTACCTCAACATCTGCCTGTCGATTCTTCTTCAAGGTCAGGATGACAAGCCTAGCAGCTTCTTCTCTTGTTTTTGGTGGGGACTTTGCTTGTTTCCATGCCTCTAGCAGCTTTCTATACCTCTTCTGACTTCTATAGCTTTATTATACAGACCACAAAACCCAAAAATTGGGCATGTCAACCAATCTTTTTTCATCGCATTGGAAACAAGGAAATCCACTTAATAACTTGAAATTAAGCCAACAACATAAATAACTCAATAGTTATCCCTTTTCGTTGAAAATAAGAGATTTCAAGTTACTTGGCATGCGATTGAGGTGATTAAAGGATGAGAGAATGTTGCCTTTCATTGTGCAACTCAATATAAAATTTAAAAAAAATAAAAAATAAAAAAAAAACCTTGAAATTAAATATAAAAGAGTCTGGAATTTCAATCTACAATGGCAAATTTTAATGCCGCTCCAGCATGAAAACCCAAAAATGCCCTTAATTGTCATAATCGTGCACATAATAAATTAAATACCAGTAAGCCCGAGCATTATTGGATGACACAACATGGTTGCCGAGCCCTTCAGGAACCTAAACCAAAGTTGAAATCTTACTTACCATTGATGGTGGTATAATTCAACAAGATAACTTGTTTAGCTATTGTAAACTCATAGAAAGAAAGCAAAACAAAACTCAGGCCGAGATCTTTAGCAGAAATGACCAGAGACATACCTGGGAGGTGATTTCAAAGTAAAAGAGATCTTGGGCAAGCGCGGAAACACCCAAAGCAGGGCCTGAGATGATTTGGGGCCGTAATGTTTCAGAGTCTTTGGTGATGGTGGAATTGAAGCAATGCCCATATAGGAACCTAATAACATGTCCCAGAACACTTCCCATCATACTGGTAATCATATTGCTCTATCATACATTAATAAAGTCAGTCATTACAAGACCTGGGATAAACAATCCCATGCAGATCTACAAGGAGAAAAAGAGAGATGTCACCAGGAGGCTCTTCAAAAAACTGGATCCCCTTGAGATCAAGACCATAGAATGCCAATAATCCCTACACACATTAGAAATAAATAACAATTTGAAACAAATTAATCCCTTATTCCAACACGAAAAAAGCTCAGTTTTCCAATTTTAACTTATTTTACCACAACAACTGCATGTTGATTCTTCTTAAAAGTCTGGCTGACAAGCCTAGCAGCTTCTTCTGTTGTTTTTGGTGGGGGCTTTGCTTCTTTCCATGCCTCTAGCAGCTTTCTATACCTTTAATTGTTATCAAAATTTATACAAACCACAAAACACCAAAATTGTGCATATTAAACTATTTTTTCTTCATCACATTGGAAATGAGGAAATTCACTCAATAACCTGAAATTAATTAGAAGAGTCCCTGGAATTTCATTCGACACTGGCCCAGTCTGGCATGAAAGTCTAAAAATACCCATAATTATCATAACCATGCCCACAATTAAAAGGAATTTTTGTCTTCTCATGCCTGGACTCCCAAGGAATAGTTTTCTAATTAAAAATTAGGATCATAATAGAGTTTAATAAATTAAAATACCATTTAGCCTGAGCCTTTTTGGATGACACAACATGCTTGTGGAGCCCCTTAGGTACCTAAGCCAAAGTTGAAATCTTAATTAACTAACTGATGGTGGTTTAATTCACTAGGATATCTTGTTTAACTCATTGTAAGCTAATAGAAAGCAAGCAAAATAAAACCCAGGATTGGATCTTAAGAGAAATGACCAGAGACATACCTCAGAAGTGATTTCAAAGTAAAACAGATCTTTGGCAAGAGCTGGAACACCCACAGTGGAAGAGGAGACAACTTGGGGCCCAAGTGATTCAGAGTTTCCTATGGTGGCAGAACTGAAGCAATGCCCATATAAGAACCTAATAACATTTCCCAGAACATTTCCAATCATATTCATAATCATATTGCCTGTAGCCCTTTTACGGGCAGTAGAGACTCAGGGGAAAGGGAGAACCGAAGAAGGAAGGACTGCTGCAGGGGAGGAAAGACAGATTCAACATTCATAAAGACAGTTGTTACTAGACCTGGGATACACAATCCCATGCATATCAACAAGGAGCAGAAGGGAGGTGCCATCAAGAGGCTCTTCAAAAAAGGGGATCACTTCAAGACCAAGACCATAGAATGCCAATAATCCCTACACAAATCAAAATACATAACAATTTGAAACACATTAGTCTTTTCTTCCTACATGCAAAAAGCTCATTTTTCAATCTTTTTAACTTGTTCTACCTCAACTTCTGCCTGTTGATTCTTCTTCAAGGTTTGGATGACAAGCCTAGCAGCTTCTTCTGTTGTTTTTGGTGGGGGTTTTGCTTCTTTCCATGCCTCTAGCAGCTCTCTATACCTTTATTTGTTGTCACCAAAAAACACAAAAATTGTCATGTCAAACAATTTTTTCTTCATCACATTGGAAATGAGGAAATCCATCAAATAACTTGAAATTAATAAACCGGGTTTTAGGCCTAATGGTTCGACCCCAAGACTTAAGTGCTTGGTTGAGATGGTCGGAGTTTCGAGTTCTACCACCGTGATCTCCACCAAAAAGCGGTCCAATGGCTGCGTGTCTCATTTGAGGGGTGGAATGTTCGACCCGATCTGGGGATCGAATCCCCAATTACTAATCACTAATTTTTACTAACTTCTTAACCATTACCTTATCAAAAAAAAAAAAAAAAAACTTGAAATTAACTGAAAAAGAATCCCTGGAATTTCAATCTATACTGGCAAACTTTAATGCCAGCTAGTCCAGCATGAAAACCCAAAAATACCTTTAATTATCATGATCTTGTGCAGAATCAATACAAGTATTTTTGTCTTTTCATGCCTGGACTGCCCAAGGGATGGTTTTTGGATTAAAAATTAGGAAAGTACTATAGTTTAATAAATTAAGATACCAGTTAGTCTGAGCCTTATTGGATGACACAACATGCTTGCCGAGAACTTCAGGAACCTAAGCCAAAATTTAAATCTTAATTAACTATCGATGGTGGTATAATTCACCAGCATATACTGTTTAGCTCATTGCAAGCTAATATAGAGCAACCAAAACAAAACTCAGGCTGGGATCTTAGCAGAGAGACCATAGACATACCTGGGAGGTGATTTCAAAGTAAAAGAGATCTTGGGCAAGAACTGGAACACCCACAGCAGGACCGGAGACAACTAGAGGCCATACTAATTCAGAGTCTCTGGTGGCGTTGGGATTGAACCAATGCCCATATAAGAACCTAAAAACATTTCCCAGAACATTTACCGTCATATTCATAATCATATTGCTCTCTTTAGTCTGAAGGCTACCCCTTTTACAGGCAGTAGAGACTGAGAGGAAAGGAAGAACCAAAGAAGGAAGGACTGTTGCAGGGGGAGGATGAATTTATAGTTCTTTTCTTTTTGGGTGAAAGGAGAGGTTAAACATTAATAAAGTCAGTCAGTCATGACAAGACCTTGGATAAACTATCCCATGCATATCCACAAGAAGCAAAAGAGAAACACCCTCAGGAGGCTCTTTGAAAAACTGGATCTCCTTGAGATCAAGACCATAAAATGCTAATAATCCCTACACAAATCAGAAGAAAGGAACAACAATTTGAAATAAATTAAACCCTTATTCCTACAGGCAAAAAGCACAGTTTTCAACTCCTTTTTTGAATTTATTTTACCTCAACATCTGCCTGTTGATTCTTCTTCAAGGTTTGGGTGACAAGCCTAGCAGCTTCTTCTGTTGTTTTTGGTGGGAGTTTTGCGTTTTTCCATGCCTCCAGCAGCTTTCTATACCTTTATTTGTTGTCAAAATTTATACAGAACACAAAACCCGAAAATTGTGCATATCAAACTTTATTTCGTCAGGAAAAAAGAGTCCCTGGAATTTCAATGTATAATGCCAGTCCAGAATGAAACCTCAAAAACACCCTTAATTATCATAATTGGATTATTAAGTAAAATTTTGTACTTTCATGCCCAGAATGGCAGAGGAAATAGTTTTCTGATTAAAAATTAGTTAAATAATATGGTTTAACAAATTAAAGTACCAGTTAGCCTGAGCCTCATTTGATGACAGAACATGCTTGCTGAGCTCTTCAGGAACCTAAGCCAAAGTTGAAATCTTAATTAGCTAATTGATTGTGGTTTAATTCACCAGCATATCCTGTTTAGCTTATTGTAAACTTATAGAAAGCAAGCAAAACAAAAACCAGGCTTAGATGTTAGCAGAAATGACCAGACAATACCTGGGAGGTGATTTCAAAGTAAAAGAGATCTTGGGCAAGAGCTGGAACACCCACGGTGGAAGCGGAAATGACTTGTAGCCCTAGTGATTTGGAGCCTCTGGTGGTGGTGGGATAACTGGAGAGAGGAAGGATTGTTGTAGGGGAGAGGATGATCTTATAAAATTTTCTTTTTTTTAGTATAAAAAGAAATTAAGCATTAATAACATTAGCCATTACAATACCTGGGATATACAACCCCATACATATCCGCAAGAAGCAAAAATGAGATGCCATCAGGAGGCTCTTCCAAAAACTGGATCTTCTCAAGATCAAGAGCAAGTTTGTCGAGGCTGTCCTTGACCATATTGCCTTCTCTAAAGACAATGTTAGAACTTGCAATTAGGGATGAGACTAAGAAGCTACCTGCAATCTTATTCTTAGCACCAGGGTTTGATTAAGAAGCCCTGGATGACCTTATGATCAACACTAACAAATCTACTTTATGCGTCGACATTTTGATCTGAATAAAAAGCAACGGAGCATTCACTTTGGTAATAATAAAGCAGTTATTGTATCATTCTTTATGCAAAAAAAAGTGTCACATCATGCTTTTTCATTGGCTAATAGGGGCAAAAGGTACCCGTTAACTTTTCGACTTTTTAGGGTTTTTACCTTACATATTTCAATAAATGAATTTTTACCCTTAATATTTTTTGGTTTAAAGAAATGAGGCAAAATTTAACGCCGGATTATTACATGCACTGTTGCCTCCGTCAAATATGCATATGTCAGCACCACCTCAGACTTTTTTGACAACTTAGCATGCTAACTTGGACCCCTATA